GATATATTAGAGAACAAGACAATCAGGATCTTACAGACTAGTGGGAAATATTACAGAACAAATATTTTAATAAGATAATTGCACATTGAGATCTGTTCAGTATGTTATCTGGCTCTCTCCCTTCATATTTAAGAAACCTCAGTGACTTTCTATTACCTCAGAATAAAGTCTGACACCTTTTTACATGACATGTAATACTCTGTAATCTGGCATCTGCCTGCCTCTCTAGGCTCATATCTCTTCCCTCCTTGCGGTACTCTTTTTGTTGTCAAATAATATTAAACTGCTCATAGGTCTCTGTACTCCTGCAAGTACTGCCCTTCTGTGTGAGTTATTATTCTTCTTATTTGCTTGCTTAACTGTATTTGATCTTTTAATAGCAGCAAAAGTATCACTTTCTCCAAAGAGCATTCTCTGATACTCCACTCTTCCATCCTAAGCAGAGTTAAATACCTTCCTTTAGTACTCTGTAATGCTTTTTTTTTTATCTCCTATGCTTGAGTTTGCCATTTTATTAAAATTGGTTAGATCTGAGTCTTATTTGGGGAACTTCTTTAAGACCAGGCATTTTTATTCTTACTTCTCAGAACAGTACTTGCCACATAGTTGTTATGTCTTGCATTTATGTTGAACAAAAACAACTTTGTAGCAGTCCACTTCTTGTTAGAGTAATGAGAGGCTAAGGTAGTATCTGTGGAAATATTGACATGGTTGGATCAAAATACAGTAGCAGACAAGATGTGGGAAGAGAAATTTGAGGTAGGGAATCTCTGCTGGTTATGCCATCACCTGATATAGGGATTCCCAAGGGGGAGGGAGAAGATGAGAAGCCATAATAAACTTAGTTTGGGGCATATCACTTTTAAAAATGGGTTGGGTAATAGTAACTGTCAATTACTTGGAATTTAACAGGAACAGATTTTAAGTGACCTCATTTCCCCCCTTCAAATGGTAGCTATGGTTAGTGATGGATGTGTTAATTAATTTGTCTGTAGTAAAAATAACACAGTGTATATATGTATCAAGTCATTATTTTTATGCCATATATATAATTTTATTTGTTAATTAAATATTTATTAGAAAGGAGCTTAGACTCTATCCAGAAAGAAATAGAAAATAGTTAAAAATATGAATATAGAGTTTAGGAAAGGTTAGAGCAGAAAACCATATTTAGAGTTATCTTCTGTTAATGGTGTTTAAAACTATTAAAGTAGATTTTCACCCAGGAAAAATACGTGGAAAGTATTTTGGGATAGTTTCATGCGTGAGGTAGCATTTAAACTAATGTATTAGAGAATCCTCAGAAGGGCACAATAACTAGCGAAAATTATTTTCTTTCCTTCAGTGATTGGGAATCTTCTCATTTCCATAGTTAATACATTTTACTTTTAATTATTTCACATGTGATTTCTGCTTTTTTTTACCATGCAATTGGGGTATTATTGTATGTGTGAAGATCATAGAGATTGGGTACCTGTTTTAATATTATTTTTCTCTTTTGTGACAAATTCCATATACTGAGTTTTCATCTTACTGTGTATTTTTTTCCTTATTATCATTTTGCTATGTATGCCCTCATATCATTGAATCAAGACTGAATTATTATTGATTTGTTTATTTAAAAAGCTAAACTCTATAATGTTCTGTCTGGCTTCATTGATTCTTATGATCAGCTTGGTCATCATGTCCCTGTAACTGGAAACTCTTATCATGTTCCTTTTCAGTTGACTATCTATGAGACTTAGTAAGGTCCTCAACTAAATCCTAATGCTGTTAATCTTTAGTGTTTATGTAGAATGAATGGGCAAGGAGGGTGTTTTAATATTTCTGGCAGAACTGTTCCATTGTGTTGTTTTCCATTACTTAAATGAAAATTTTATATTACTCTGTATAATTATTTCCATTACTTAAATGGAATTTTATATTACTCTGTATAATACAAAGACTAAGTCTAGGTCCCAAATCAATATTCTTTTCTTTATTGTCTCCCAATTAGGCCAAATATAAGAAAGTAAGTCAAGTACCTGAAGCAATGACAAATCTTATCACTTGCTTATATGTATCTTGGTTTGAAAAGTTTTGCTTAAGCCTAGAGACTTAGTACTTTAGTGTGAAACTATAAGATGGTCATATTATTATCATCTACTAGACTGAGACTGGACATATATGACCATCACCTCAATTTCTGCAGAAACATTTTCTCTGAACCTATAACCATTGACTTTTCTCCACATAACACAATATAAAGATACAATAGTATCAGTAGCAAGCTTGGCAGTGATTCTTTCCTAGGATTTGGAAGCTTATCAGAATCTCCAGGGGTACTTATAATTTGAAAAAGTCCCCCAGGTGTGATTCTGATTTGTTTCCTTCTCCACCTCTTCCTCCATTGAAATCACTGTTTCATCAGAAGCTTCAGCATAAATAGCATAAATGCGTACATTTATTAGGATCTTGTTCTTGTGTAATTGAACTCCCAGATGCCACACCCCCATACATTCCTTTTGATTGTTTGCTTTTGCTAGTAGTTCTCTCTCATCCCATAAATTCTGACACCAGTGTATTACTTGTCACTAAAGATATGCTTAACCACCAAAGTAGCCCTTTTAGTGTTTAGAAACCTACACAACAAGGAGGTAGATCTGTATAAATTTGAGGGCCAAGTTTAACTATGTAGTTTATTTAAATGGGAAACCTTTTCAAAATGTTACACTGGAGTCCACGATTTATACCAACACTCTTTCTCTAATTTTGTTTTAACATTGTATGATTAACATTTTCAAACCGACACCAAAGAAGAAAGATTTTCAGAGTGAACACTTCTATATCTACCACCTACATTCTACATTAGACTTGTTAATCACATATCTACTCAAATGTCCATCCCTCTATTAATTGATTTTTCTTTTTTGTGTATTTCACAGTAAATTTAAGCTATCAGTAAAATTTCCCCTAAATACTTCAGCATACATATTCTTTTTTCTTTTGCAGTTTTTTGGCCAGGCCCAGGTTTGAACATGCTACCTCTGGTATATGGGGCCAGCACCCTACTCTTTTGAGCCACAGGCATTGCCCCAGCATGCATATTATTAACTAGAGGTCAATATTTATTTAGTTTTTTTTCTCTTGATGGAAAATGTACATATAGTGAGATAATTAAATCTTAAGTACTAATGATAAATTTGTATAACCCAAGGCTATGTCAAGATGTTTAATGCTCCCTTTTTTCTGCCCCAGTTATATCCTCTTCATTTTCTATAAACATCTGAAATAAAGATAAGAAAAAGGCTTGTCAGTGCTTATAGCACAAATAAGAATCAGTGTGTAATGACAGCATATTTCTCTTTTCTGAAGTACATTGCATTTCAAATGGTATATGAATGTTTTAAAGTGGGAGACTGAAAGAATAACTTATCTTTTTAGTTTTTAAATACAGTAATTATTTGGGGAAATATCTAGGTTTAGATATGTTATGGCTACTTAGTTAAGTCTTTTGTAATGCAAGATCTCTAGTTTAATAAAATGTGAGGCAATATGGATAGAAACAATAATTGAGAAGAGAAATGAAGTAGATATGAGATAGGAAAAATCATATAAATATTAATTTGCTATAAAAAATCTTATATTAAAATGTGATTACTTGGTTAAAACATATATTATGTACATACAACATTAGTAGATATACTCTATCTGGCCATAGTGGTATATTACTTGTTCAAGAATATTAGCATAACATAAAATGCCTTTGGGAAATGCAAATTAAATTTCTTTCACTGCTATTCTTAGATTTTAGTAATTTTATTTTTATGCCTATTAAATATGACTTATTTGACTTACTCTTAGTGTTGTTGAAAATATTTTAACTCATATCAGTATATTTTAAATATGATATGATTTTTGAAATTGTTTGCTTGCATTTTGTGAGGACAACATACAAGTGTAGTTCTTTTCTTTTCTTTTTCTTTCTTTCTTT